TCTACGCGGAATTCAGGTTAGTGGTTTCGATCTTGATTTAAGGAATGGATACTCCCACCTAGTATATGTGATGTGAGAAGTTGAGGCAACCCTTTCACATAATCCAAATTATCACCTTGTAACGTTAAATAGCTCAAAATAGGCCGGATGAACTTAAAAGCAGCTCACTAATTCTTCATCAGGTTCAGGCTTTAGAAGGATAGAACAAGAAATTATTTACAATAGCATTAAATATTTAATAGTATTTGTGATATATTTCATATATCATTTCATATATCAATAACCAACATAACATGTCGATAATTGCATTAAACGCCATAGTCACTTATTTTTACATATTATGCACCAGCGTTCAGCAGATCACATCCTGGTCCATACATATATACATAAATATGTATTAAAAATGGTAAGAATATGTTACAAATATGTAAAAAGAGTTATAAAATGTAATATCAAAATACGTTATTTATAGAATACTTACAAAGAAACAAAATAAAGTTGGACAATTTGAAATAACATTAATAAAATATTTAATTAGCCACTTTTAAAAATAAATATTGCTTATCTTACTTGATTTTTTAAAGAGTACGTAATTATCTTTGAGAGCAATTAAAGTCATGGTACAAATGTGGGAAGTCAGTGACCGGCAAACAACCACTGTAGCATTGTCTTCAACCCGCAACGCGTCTGCGACTACCAATATCTCTCATAAATTAGGATTAAAGATCAAGAAACAAGAAGACACTGATATTTTCCACACCTAAAAATAATATTTTCTTCCCTCATGTATACTTGTTGCAACATACAATCAGTGCAGACGAAGTTTGACCCAACCGAAATGCATCTGATAGCGTTTCCACGTGGCGCATTTCGCGTCGTCAACATGCAATTCTGAGTATCTGTAAGAAAAAAATGTTTATTTTTCAATTAAAAAAAACTATTAATTTTTTTGCGAAATAAATTTCAAGAACATTGGTAGAATATTAAAATATTAAACAAAGTAAGTTACATATAAGAAAAATATGTTAAATACGTAGCATAGTACAAAATATGTAAAACTATGTAACGAAAAATTTGAATAGTGAATTAGGATTGCCCTGAATGACATTATCACAATTCGGAGAAGTGAATTTAGGAAAACAAGAAAATGTAATTACATAAGAATCCGGACTCAATTAATACGAAAGTATATTGTGTGTTCGTATGATGCAAGTCGTGCCACATTTAATCTCGTGTTCCTAAAATTGTCAGTTGCGATATAGGTTGAGAATTTTAGTGAATAGAGGGAACATCACGTCGCATTTGGTTACATGCAAGTGGCATATTATTAAAATTATTTTTAAAATGCGTGAAGCATTTTAAGTTTTATTTGGGGAGAGTAAATATACAGTAATTTAATGAATTTTAATATACCTACGTCAACAGATTTTACAGCTACAGACAAGTTTGTCATATCATTTTAATATGCTAATTTTATTTTGAATTTCATACCACAGCCGAGATTAGTTTGTTCACCAGTAAAATGAGAATATGCGTGCAAAACGTGAAGTGTTTCATTTATTTAGAGAAAGAGGTAAATGAATTTTGTCGCTTTTATCTCGTCCATAGTGAGAAAAAATCTACAAAACAAAGTTAATCAAAATTAATTTTATTTTTTCGTATAATAACAGGAAATATGAAACTATCTTAATTTATATTTTTTGTCGTTTGACAATGCTTACGTTTATGACCTCCATCAACACACAAAACAAAACAACACAACAACAAAACTTGAATCTTATAGCCATTGCACAAAGCATAGAATTCCAAAAGCGGTTTGTGATTAATAGGGAGAGACTTTTTATGCCCTAAAAATCTTAAAGTATGGTTTTAAAAGTATGTATTTATGACCTAAAAATTCTGAAATATTCACTTTGATATCCAGTTAAAATTGACAATATTTCATTTTTTCCATAAACCTTTCTTGATAAAGTTCAGAACAAGCTTGTTTGAATTGAAAATATATATTTTTGTGCAAATATAATTGAATGTACCCTACTTCACAAGAGAAATAATTGAGGTAAATGTTCACCTTTGTGAAGTATCTTGTATCTTGTATTTTTTCTGACTGATTTAAAAACATATTATAATGAAATAACCTACATTTTCACAATTATTTTATCATGTTTAGGAAAGAAAAAAAACGCTAACTGTGACAAGTTCTTTCGCATCAATGAACGCTCACAAATAGATTCTATGAAAAGTTAAAACGTTTTATAAATAAGTTTGTTTTAACGAAATATGCAAAATATTGCTCCTATAGTTACACGAAAATGTACCAACCGGAAATATATGCCAAAAACGCACAGATATGCACTAATTAATCTATATATCATTATATTGAAGCCAAAATGTCAAGAAATTTCACTTCACTATGCACTGAAGCAACGGACAAAAATAGACAAAATCATAGAAATCCGCTCCTTACTGGTTAATTTGTATTAGCAATAATAATAATAATAATAATAATAATAATAATAAAGAAAATAAACTTATGAATTTTTCAATATTCTATTCTTAAATCAAAAGCACATGGGAGAAGAAAAACCATCTGCATAAAATCAATTTAATGTCTGTCCATGAGAGAAGTTCTATACCGTGTCCGATCACATATTTGTATACGCTCAAAGAGTATATTTCAGAGACGACACTCAATGTTGAAAGGAAAAGCCTTATTTGCCCAACTTCCGGTGCCACCACATTGTTCTGTACAATTTCTATTGAGTAAACGGACAGCCAATAGCGAAGACGTAACCGGTAAATTTGAAATAAACCAGCAACACGAACTTTAAAATTTCACTCCTATACTTTCCACGCCTTAATTTATTAAAAAATTCACAATAATTATAGGGATTTTATGGAAGAAAAAAGTCAAATTATGGTAGTAAAATCTAGCATTTATTGAGCATATTGATATTATACAATATCGTAATTTCATTAGTAATTACAATTTTGTATTACAGAAGGTAATAAACAGTACACATGCACAATTGCAATTTCAGTATTTGAAGATATGCCAAATTAATGTGAATACTATAGAATACTACGTTATTACAAGCATTATGAATGAAAAATATGAACATAATTGAAAAGAAACAAATAAAAATACTACCGCATATTTGCCCAAGTAAAACAGTTATGATACAAGGGGTGAAAGTGCCATTTTATTTTGCGCGTAGGAAAGGTAGCGCCACTAGGCCAATAAGTCTGGTGCCCCATTTCTATAAGCAAAATTAAATCACTTTCACCATGATTTTTTAAGTAGTATTACTGCCTTTCATTTTATTTTAAATCAAGAATACGAATTACTTAGTTATGTACTGTTACATTAAGGTTACTGAAGACATTAAGTATCTGATTAGGTCACATGAACGTATTTTGTTTTCTTGGTTGCTTTCAAAGTTTTATCAGAACATTTTAGCATTGTCCCACGTGTAGCAGTAGTGCAAAAAATTGGGCTTTTAGGATGCTCTGCATGCCTTGAAAGAACCGCATTTACTAGTTGCAACCTAAAACTGATTTTCGTTAGTCAATAAATATTTGACAAAATTATTTTATTTAGCCATGTTAATCTCCCACATGCACAGTTCAGAGCCTGGATTTTTAAAATGGGATCCACTGTGAAAGTACATTCACTTTTAAAACATTGATTTACAAATAGTGGAATTCCATCAATGCTTATGCACCACAATTTAATTCTGAAAATGGATTGTCAAAGTGCAAATATTTGATTGCACCAGGAGCCAAGCCTGGGACCTTCTAATAACTGGGCAGATGTCCTAATAACTGAGCTATGGAATCAAGCATTGCATTTACGAATCGTAGCAATTCACAATCTAATAAGGATCAGCATTCAAATCCAGAATGTAATTGCTATGGGAATGAACAAAACACAATGATACACTCATTGTAGAATATAAATTGAATCAAGGTCGTGTTTGTCACGAGATACAATTATTGTCATAACAGTATAACAATACATAAGCAACTTATATCAATACTTATAAAAAAAATTAATACTAATAAGAAAAAAAATTACAGACCAGATAATAAGCACTAAAGAAATTCTAAAATTGCACGAAAATAGCCTCTGAAACAGAAACTCAAAACTTTTGAATTTATAATATTCACATTAAGTGTCTTAACATTGCAAGAGGCATTCCAAAATTGAGAAAATGATCATGCTTTACAGACTTAATTTTGTCTTTAAATTTAATTTAATTGGAACTTTCCAAATCAGATAGGGAAAATACAGTTTATGTTATGGATCTGTATCCAATGACAGAATACACACTGATTTTAAAACTCTCGTTGTTCGTACCATTACAAACTGTCAGCGTAAAAGAGATATGTACAGAAACTATGCAAAATGAAGCAAGTCATTCACTGCACATAACAATAATTCTATAAAATTATCTCTCTGAGTTCTGACTCCTCAAAGAGAACATTAATTTAAACCACTTAAGGTCAAACTCGAAGGGGCTAATATGCATGCTTCAATAGCCATCTCTGGAAGAGGATCTGAAAAGCAAAATATGCCGTTAAGAAAGATACTATGTTCTCAAATGAATGTTCTGAAAACAAATCTGTATCAAAAAGAAAGAGGTTTCTTTTAATTCACTATCTAGAATAACGAAATTAGAAAGCACAGGAATATCTTGCACTTACCCCACACTGCTTTTTGCATTTTACAAACATACAAGAGACCTACCATTTTCAGTTTGAGTAGCTGCCTGTGTACAAGGATCTGAAAATTAAAAATTGCTGGTAACATAGACTCCCATCAAATTATATATTCTACTAATATTCTATTAAAAATGTCTTACCAATTGCACCCATTGATATAATGGGTGTCACCTCGGTTTGTTCAAACAAGGGATCTGCAAATGAACATGAACATTAAAAAAATTCCACTATTTGCATTGGAAAATTTTGAATGCACTTTCAAGGCAAAAACTTACCATGAATATTGGCAGCAAATGTACCAGGCACGCTTGCTGTAGTGAATCATTCACTAGCATTAATTTCTGTAAACACAAATGAATTATCTTAGAGATAGTATAATAGACTTTTAGTAGCATCATTCTATAAACATTTTACAATGAAGTAGAAATTTACCATCTACAGTGTAGTCTGGATTTAGAACAAACAACATGCATACAAACGAAAGATAAAATAAATGTAACTCACTTTTTCACGTATCTTGGGAACCCAAATAAACATGATTTAATTGCTAATTTCGCTTTCGTATTTTTACAGTTAGGCACCCAGCATCTTCTCGAAGCCATAATGCACGCTTCAGACTTCAAACAGTAGTCAATCACTTCATTTCTCTAATTCACTGACTGCGATAGGGCGTTAACGGCCCTAGGAACAGCATGTGGATATACAACGATAGGTCGACGAGGAAGGAATCCAACGGTAACCAACCGGCTCGTTTGCGAAAAA